GCACACCCCTCACACGTTTCGTGGCCCCATAGGGAGCTCCACCGAAGGCCCCAATGCCGCCGCCCGCATGCGTCCCGCACACCCACTTCGGCAAACCCCCACACGTTTCGCGGCCCCATACGGAGCTCCACCGAAGGCCCCAGCGCTGCCGGCCGTATGCGTCCCGCACGCCCATTTCGGCACACCACGTTTCGCGGCCCCATACGGAGCTCCACCGAAGGCCCCAGCGTTGCCGGCCGTATGCGTTCCGCACACATTTCCGCACACCCCTCACACGTTTCGTGGCCCCATAGGAAGCTCCACCGAAGGCCCCAGTGCTGCCGCCCGCATGCGTCTCGCACACCCATTTCGGCACACCCCTCACACGTTTCGTGGCCCCATAGGGAGCTCCACGGAAGGCCCCAGTGCTGCCGCCCGCATGCGTCCCGCACACCCATTTCGGCACACCCTCATGCGTTTCGTGGCCCCATCGGGAGCTCCACCGAAGGCCCCAGCGCTGCCGCCGGCGTGCGTCCCGCACACCCAATTCGGCACACCCCTGACACGTTTCGTGGCCCCATAGGGAGCTCCACCGAAGGTCCCAGTGCTGCCGCCCGCAAGCGTCCCGCACACCCATTTCCGCACACCTCTCACACGTTTCGTGGCCCCATGGGGAGCTCCACCGAAGGCCCCAGTGGCGGCGCTCACATGCGCATGCGTCCCGCGCACCCACTTCGGCACATCCCTCACAGGTTTCGTGGCCCCATCATCCACCAGAGGCCCCAGTGGCGGCGCTCACATGCGTCACCCACACCCACCCGATTCGGCAAACCCATCACACGTTTCGTGGCCCCATACGGAGCTCCACCGAAGGCCCCAGCGGCCGCGCTCACATGCGTCCCCGCCACCCATCCCGGCACGCCCCTCACAACAACAGGTTTCGTGGCCCCATAGGGAGCTCCACCGAAGGCCCCAGTTGCACCGCCCGCATGCGTCACCACCCGCACCCAATTCGGCACACCCCTCACACGTTTCGTGGCTCCCATAGGGAACTCCACCGTCCAGTGGCGGCGCTCACATGCGTCCCCGCCACACATCCCAGTGCACCTCACGCGCTTCGTGGCCCCATAGGGAGCTCCACCGAAGGCCCCAGTAGCGGCGCATACATGCGTCTCCGCCACCCATCCCGGCCCCCCCCCCACAGCAGCATCATGTTTCGGGGACCCATAGGGAGCTCCACTGGAGGCCCCAGTGGCGGCCCTCACATGCGTTTCCGCCACCCATGTCGGCACGCCCCGCGCGTGTTTCATGTCCCCATAGGGAGCTTCACCGAATGCCCCAGTGGCACCCATCTCGGCACACCCCTCACACGTTCCGTGGTCCTATGGGGAGTTCCACTGAAGATGAAACCCGCAGCTGCGGTACTGACCACTGCATATGGTTGGGTTCTTCGCCAGGCTATTTTTTCTTCGGCGAGGGCCATCGAGGAGCATCCTGGATCATCTGGCAAACAGAGCACGCGCGGAGTCGAAAAGTGCACGGGGAATGGACGCCCGAGCGATGGCGAGGACCCGGACCTCCCACGTGGCAGTGTTTAGGTCGATCTCTGCCGTGGCTCCTCGACGTTGGCCTGCGGGGGCCGCTTCTGGGCTTCCGAGGACTCTCGAACGTGTGCCTGCGACAAGACAAAGCCTACCCCCAGGAGGGGGTCGAGACCTTTGGACCTTTCGAGGCGGGAGCGTGTTAGGAGGAGGGGGAGGAGGAGGAGGAGGCAGAGGAGGAGGAGGAGGAAGGAGGAGGAGGAGGAGGAGGAGGAGGAGGAGGAGAGGGGGAGGAGGAGAGGAGGAGGAAGAGGAGGAGGAGGAGGAGGAGGAGGAGGAGGAGGAGGAGAGGAGGAGGAGGAGGAGGAGAGGAGGAGGAGGAGGAGGAGGAGAGGAGGAGGAGGAGGGAGGAGGAGGAGGAGGAGGAGGAGTGAGGAGGAGGAGGAGGAGGAGGGAGGAGGAGGAGGAGGAGGAGGAGGAGGAGGAGGAGGAGGAGAGAGAGGAGGAGGAGGAGGAGGGAGGGGAGGAGGAGGAGGAGGGAGGAGGAGGAAGAGGAGGAGGAGGAGGAGGAGGAGGAGGGAGGAGGAGGAGAGGAGGAGGAGGAGGAGGAGGAGGAGGAGGAGCAGGAGGAGGAGGAGGAGCAGGAGGAGGAGGAGGATGCGCAGGAGGAGGAGAAAGTGCACGAGGAGGGGGAGGAGGATGGGGTTGAACATGTCATCTTTGGGGGCCTTCTCGGGCCTCCGCACGCCTACACCATACACAGCGGGCGCGCCATCCTAGAAGCACCCCTGCCAGCAGGTGCACCATGGAACTCTCTGCTTCTGTGTGTCTGCTGTCCCCCTCCCCCCGCGCGGCCGCCCTCGTCTCCTTCCTCTTCTCTTGCACGCCGGCCACTTAGTTTCTCTTTTTCCTCGAAGAGCCACACGCTGGAGCGGACTGCCTCCGCCCCGCCGCAGGCGACGGACAAGCGTGGGCCTGCTGCAGGTGACTCCAAGGACCGAGGCCCCATGGAGCCATTCGGCGAGGCTCCCCCCAGCGAATCCACGCACCGTGCTCCGAGCAGATAGGGTCGGAGGATCTCGCCGCAACGCCGATCCATCGGCGATGCATCGGCGACGACGGCGGTGCACCGGCGACGCTAGCGCGGAGAAGATGGGGCTCCACATCGAGCCGCATCGGCGATGCATCAGCGATGCGGCGCGACCCTCCGACCACATCTGGGAGGCCCAGGGCTCTCCGGTCCCTTCTGGGGCCGCTCGCCCCCCTCGTGGCCTCCGCGTCGGGGGCACTGCCCTCGAGGGGCAGCCGGGCAGAGGCCAATCCCCCCGGGGGGGAGAGGGGGTCCGGAAGCTGCTCAGCAGTCCGGGGAATGTCCTGAGCCTTCAGAGGAGGAGGAGGAGGAGGGGGAGGAGGAGGAGGAGTAGGAGGAGGAGGAGGAGGAGGAGGAGGAGGAGGAGGAGGAGGAGGAGGAAGGAGGAAGAGGAAGGATTGATCGATCGATCCGTGGGGACGAAGTTCGCAACCTCCTCATAATCGATAGCTTAAAAAAACTGTTTTTAAATCGTCCTAGCTGTACTCTCTGCGCTTGCTGGGTGAGCTGGCACGATGTCGTGCTCGGGCCCAACCCGCACCGAAAGCCCCACGCAGAGGCTGGAGGGCGGGGTAGCACCCGCCCCTCGCGGAAACCTACCTCGCCTGTTGCCCCTGGTTTTTACCCTGGGCTCGCCCCCCTTTACCCCGACCTTTCCTTTTGGGTTCGGGAGGGGGGGAGGGCGGTGCATCAGAAAGTAGTCAGGAAAACCATGGCCTCTGAACCTAAAAACTTCAGGAGCGTTCTGAGGAGGAGGGGTTGGGAGTCTGCCTCTGGCCGCCAGCTCTCGGAATCGTACACTATGTTCGAAAGCTCTGGGCACGGCGCGGGGCGTTCCCTCACTCTGGATTTGGCGTAAGCCTACGGCATGCTCTTCTCTGGCGTCCTCTGCGTGTCGTTCGGCGGTCAGCCGTTGACCAGGCGCCCGAGTTCCCGCTCCAGCGCCCCGCGCGGCGCCGAGCCCACGCGGCGCGTGGCTCCCTCCTTCTTGAGCTGGTTGACTAGCACTGTCGCAATCTGGTGATCGTTCGCGTTGAAAGTGAACTGGAACCTGCACTTGTCTTTCCCG